TTCTGGATGACTCTGCAATGGTGGCACTGAGCAACCCTGTCACAGAACCTCAGTGGAGGGACATATATGTTGCCTTCCACAAAAGTGGCAATCAGCCAGCATGTGTCACCAACACAAATGTTAAGGAATCATCCAAAGCTGCCCAATGGTGCTGCACAAAGTCAGCCTAGGTGTGCCCCACCACAGCCAACCTAAATCCCCCTTAGTTGACACCTGACACTCAAAACTAGGAGCCTGAGGGTCAGTTCCAAGCATAGCATTACACAGAAGCTTTTGTGGATTACTACTGAACGTTCCAGGAAATTCAGACTGCTCAAAAAGCATTCATGAACACAGTCACTCAACTGTTGTATTAATTATTCACTAGGAATTAATGTCTCAGCTTTACTCATTAATGCCCCAGAGCACACTATTCAATACTAGAGTACCTCCTATGGTAAAAGGCTGCAACCACAACAGCATCCTGCAGAAAATCACACATTCACTACCTATTTCTTTCATACAGTCAGTGATCTGTTGCTTATGTCGCAACTTTATTAAAAATATCCTCTGAAACCACTCAAAATAGCACTAAAAAAAAGCCTTTTAAAACATGACATTCACTCTTGTGTCTCATACCATTAGAAGATAAAAATGTATAAAAATAGATCTGTGGTATTCCTAAACCCCATGGAGGAAATAACAGCATCAGCTTAATCATCAGTCAAATCTATTCTCCTTCAATAAAATCATTCTGCATCTAAGGATACCAGCACTGCTGGTGGTGTAGTCTGGTATTAGTCAATGTATGATCTTGGCTCAATTTTAGACATTTGGATCACCTCCTGCAGCAACAGAAATTGATGAAGTTCTAAACTGTTTTCCAAAGGAGGTTGTGTGTGAAGGAAGAGTTGCATCAACTATAAAAGCTGAAGTTCTGTGCCAGTGCTAAATAGGAAACGGTGAAAACTTCACTTACAGCTTCTGAAAAATAGCTATGGATACCTTCCCAGTGACTAGTTATCTTGAAGTAATACAAACAGCTTTTGAGCAAGAGTAAAAGACAAACATGCACACACTCAGAACATCATCCTCTTAAAGCTCTACACTGACCATGCCTTTTTCCCCAAGAATTCTCTAATTTTCTAATAATTTCGTATTAAGCAATAAAAATTATGTCTTTCTAGGCATTTGCTAGTATTATCTCTCATATTCACAACATGAAAAGTTGGAAATAAAAAGCATACAAAAATAACTATGCATTAGTTCTTACAAAATGCCTCTAACCAGTCTCACCCCATTCCTAAAGGCAATGAATTCTTGCATAAAAAGTGTAGCTAGCTAATTTAATCAGAATCACACTGAGAAGTATATGGCAAGAACAGCAATTGGATCTGAAAAAAACACAGTGATCAAAATGAAATTTAGATAATAACAGGAGTATCAGATGTTTGAGTTCAGAAGAAAATAAAAAGAAATCCCATTTACAATTTCTATCAGGGCTGCTAAACATTTATATATTGTTCCAACACACCAACCACACTTGTTATGTCACTCTTACAAATCCTGCACTTGCTAAAATTCATAACATTCTGCTCACTTACTGCAATTTGACAGAAAAACAAATGAGAACAGAAAAATGAAGCTTTCCCATGCTGCTGAGTGTAACGATCACGAAATAAAATCCTGAATCCTAACTTTGAATCTCTTTTTCTCAATAGACAACACTCCCTAAAAAATACTTATTTATAAGAAAACTATTATTTTTCTAAAATTATGCTTACATGAAAGTTAACTTGCTAGTTCTGAATTCAGAAAACGAACAGTAAATAACAATCGTAAAAGCAAAATATTCCAGAAACACTACTGACTTTCAAAGAGTAGGAGGAAAAATTAATTGGCAGATGTTTTACATTGCATAATTAACAGTTCATTTCAATGCACTGTAACAAGATTAAGATAATTATGCTTAGAAACAGAAATGTAATAATGATAAATTACTAGTTTTCATATTACGGTCAATCTCCTACATTCCAAATAATCACCATGTTTAGAAATAGGTGCATCTGTTCCATGCTGTCACCAGCTACACAAATGGTACAAACTCGTGGCTGGGTGAAATGATCTTTCAACCAAGATGCAAGAGATTTTCTTGCTTCATGAGTAAACAGAATTCCTGTTCCATTTGCAATCAAAACAGCAGGTAAGAAAAGCAGCTCTGTTTTCACAGTTACTGAATAGAAGCTGAAGATGCATCAGCAATTTGCATTTCTTATGGATAACTGGACAGCAAAGCTTAAATTCCATGAGCCTAGCAAATGACAAAATCTCCTCATATGGATGCTCAAGATTAAGAATATGAGAATCTGTGTTCTGTGATGGTGTGCAAAATATGAAGTCATGTGCTTTGTATATGGGTTGTAAGAAATAACTCTGTCAAAGATTTCAGGCCACAAATTAAGAAAAAATGATGTTCAAGGTTTTCTTTTATTACATCTATGAGGACTAACTACTGCAGCCAAGTGCCACAATATTAGTGTAAGCCATTTCAGAGTAACAGTTACATGAAGGTAACCCCTGAGCATTAAGAATCTGTTGATAAATTAAGTTTGATATTTTGAGATTTTATTTCAGGCTTTCCACTTTCAAGGTTGTTGTTTCGGTGTTTTATTTTAAAATTTCAAAGGTGCATTTTTCTCCTATTTCCCCACAAAGACATAACAACAAAAAAATCCCCCAACCATTTTGCCTTTAAATTAAAAACAGACTTGCATTTCACCTCTCTCATTTTTATAGATTCACTGCTTTCATCATGCTTTATTGTTGGGTTCTTTTTTTTTTTTTGCTTTGCTTTCTACTATCAAGTCCTTGACACTTGGAGACTAAAACCTCACAACTAACAGCACAAAGATCAGAGCAGGCACAGAAATAGAAATTGCAAGATTAGAAATCTCAAAGACCTGAAAAGTAGACAGAGGAGGAATAAATAGGTATTGAGGCAGAACCAAGGAGAATAAAGGAAAGCAATGAAAAATGCTTTCAAAAATAAGAGTTAAAAAAGTGTGACTGCAATATAAATGTGCAGCTGAGGAAAATTAGTTCTGTAGAATTGGAGCATCACACTTACCCAAAGTAAAGTAGATTGGAAGAAAGGAGGTAAGTGCAAATGCATTGTGCATTATAAATACCACTGACACCTTTTAGGTTTAGTCCATTTTTTATTCCCACTCTGGAGTAGGCAAATATAAAGAGACCTAGTGTTCCTATTACTTATCACTGTTGTTCTGAGCCTTCAAATAAATAACAAAAAAATCCCAACCTATAATGAATTAAAACCCCAAGATATTAGGCAATTTTTATTTTTTTTTATTGACCAGGTTTCTGGCTTCATTCCCTCAAAAACCAAATATGTCTTCCTATGTGTTTCAATTCACTTCCACATTTCCAAGGCTTGATGGGCTTTCTGACAGGGTTTTTTTCAGAAATCCTTAGCTAGTAATACACTCCCTGTCCCTTCTGCATAATCTCCTGGTTAACAAACAATTTTTACCTAGCATCTAAAGAGAACAAATGAGAAATACTTATTTTCTTTTGGACTTCCCTCAGATGAAGTCAGAGTGTTGGTTCCAAGAATGCTAGAGAAAGAGTTTCACCACAGAACTTACTACAAAACATTAACTTTGCAACAGATGAGCAACTAATTTATATCAACACCTTGTAGGCAATCTGTCTTATCTAAATGAGCTTTTGGGGCAGAATTGTAACTCCTACAAGCAGGACACATTTATAAGGCTACATGCACAAATTATTCTCAATTCTATTCAATTACAGGCAGAAATACTGTCCTGGGCTTTGATCTTTGGTCTCAGCAGTATGTGGTAAGAAACTACGAAGATAAGAACATACTCTAACGAGATGCACTAAAAAGACACTGCAAGGCATTCTCAAAGATACACCCACAGTTTTACAGAGCTCTTATGCAGATGACTTTCAGACTAGAAGGACACCAAAAGCCAGAAGGATAAAAGTGAATATAGTTCTGTGCAACCCAAATGTCCATTTTTACAGTTACATTCCATTGGCCTGAAAAATTTAGAGTATCAACCAATGTACCATTGACTATCTCACTGAGATGGCTCTTACATTTCTTCACCTAGTCCTGATTTCTTTTTTATCCCTGACACCATCTCACCACTGCTGGTAAGGCATTCTGAATCATCTAGACAAGCTCTTTCTGTTTCTCAGCAGCCTAACTAATTTCAAACCCCAACACAAACTGTCTCCATTTCTCCATAATCTAATTCTTTATTTACTTTATAAATATGTACCTAACTTAATGGAGTTTCTTTAAGTATGTTTTTAACTAAGATACAGCCTAGCTTTAAGGTAATATATTCTTGTTCTATCCTCTGTTGATATTTCATAAAATAAACCTTTTATTTTAGAAAAACTTTTAATATGTATTAGTGTATTGGACTGATCCTGTTCCACTGACTAAAGTCAGGTATATAAACAGTATGAAACCTCAATATAAAGCCTCACTAACTCATCACATACAGATCTGTTACAGCCTTCAGAAGGTTAAACTTGATACTATTTCCCTATAGTTTCTTAAAATAACTAACAGTGGTTTGCTATGAGGATACAGTTAAGACTTAAATCCTAGCTGCCTAACTTCTGTGTATCTCAGATTTCAGTCATATAATCACAATTTAAACAATTAGTATCAGTATGTAACCCAAGCTAACAGTCTGCTCTTATCATTTAACTTTAGGCCTTTGACTGTGTACAAAAGATGTAATTTCAAATAACACTTGAACATAGGTAATTACTGACTTGTATATAAATTTCAAACAGTATTTGAAATTACATTAAAAAATGCATTTAAAATGTAAAGCTAGAGAGAGCCATCTACAGTATATAAGGTGAAAGGAGGATCTGTAAAACTTTGATGGAGAAGTGCCATATCAATTTAAAAACATTTTGGGAGTCTTCCAGTATGGAAAAGACAAAACTCTTACCGTTTCCTTTGGAATTTGTGACTGGCTTTGTTCTGCACTCTAAAGGAAGTAAAAAAAATAAATAAGAACACAACTACATATGACATATACTATCTATCAGCAGGGGGACAAACAAAGAGCTCTAATTCTGATGTGAAGTGGTCATGAAAAAATGAAGGGTGTTTGTCACACCCCAACTGAAATTTGTCTAAACAAGCACTAAATGAGAGGTGAACAAAAATAACTCCAGCCACCTTAGGGCCTCATGTAGCTCTGAGGAAGTTGGATATCTGGCCAAGGAAGAACTATGACTGCTTGCACCATTTTCTGCCTGGTGGAACATTCTCATTCAGGGATGTTCTCCCCTAGCCTTTCCCTTGTGCATTGAAGTTTTCAAAGAACAGCCTCAGCAGTCCCGATGAGTCCTTCCAAGTATTTCAAAAGAGTACCTATTTTTTGAAACATTCATTCTCATTTTAGCAAAGGATTCACCTTTTGAGCATCTTTGGACAAAACAGACCCACAGCACTGGATTTCCCAGGACAGGAGGATGCTTTCAGTTCACCTGAGATAGGACCCTCCTGTACTTTGCATTCCTCACCTGCCTCTCAGGTGTCACATAAGGCAAATATACATAATTGGAAAACCTTTCTGCATCCTCCAACCAATTCTGGAAACACATGTAAGGAACTATGGCTCTTCCAAGCCTACATCCACCTATATAAAAATCCATTTGAGCCTCCAGGAGACACTAGTAGCAGCTCACAGTTGCTTCACAGCAAGTTATGTGAGGTAACCACAGTGCTACAGGAGCTCTACTTAACCAGAGCAATCCTCATCCCTTTCATAAAGGGAGGAGGCAGGGAGGGAAGGCTTTGAAGAGGCAATGTGCCTTTACCTCACACTGACAGGGACAAGCTCTAATACATTACCTATCTGGCATCAGGTAACTGTGGAAGCAATAAAATGCCTGGTATTCTGAGGAAGCATAATCATTGTTCCATATCTAACTGGTTAGAAAAGCTGACAATTTGATTTTATTCCCTGCTTCCATGTTTTATTCACTTTTACCATGATCTGCTGCACTGGATGAGGATCTTCCATCACACACATACTCCCTGACCTGACCACACAAGCTACAAACATCCTATACTAACCTAAACTGGCTCATCTTAACATTCCCCTAAGTTTAGCTATAACTACACATTTTTGTAGGTCCCTTCCAGACAATAACAGCAACATACATCAAAGACATTAAACTCAACAACTTTCCTGAAGTTTACTATCTTCATTTTACTTACAAAGAAACTCAAAGATCCGTAACTTGTTTCAAAAGTCATTCAACAAGCCATAACCCAAAACAAAACCTAAACACCTCTTTTATTGGGATTACTATCTGTACAAGTGTTGGCAAATATAAAATGGTTTTAATATTGAGTGTTCCTGAGTAAGCAACAGCAAGTCCTGCCCTTTGTGAGATGGATAACATCAAATAACATGATTTCATGTATATGGTTTCTGAGACACATCTCATTCAGTTAATATTTAAAGGACACAAATGTAGGAAATATGACAGAAATAGGGGAAGGATGCAAAGGCAAATTGTTCCTAAGTGGCCAAAGAGGTTTGCATGTGAAACAGATGAACTGATGTGATTTCAGATCATTCCCTCTCTACTACAATATTAATTTTCTTCCTTTTTTTTTTTTTTTTTTTACATAAATCTAGAAAACATCAATGAGAGGAGCTGGTTAAAAAGACTTCTTTTAAATTTTTCTTTCAGGATCATTTCTTACCAGAGAAGAAAGAACAGCCCTTATGATGACTTTTAGTTCAACACCTTCCCCAGCAATTCTACTCCTGCTCTTAGACTGCAGTCAGCAGAGCATACCTAAGAGCTCTTGATGTCAGAATGCAAACAAACAAATCCTTATGCAACAGAGGATCATCACACACATGTACTGTCAGATCCTCCCAATATCATTTGTTCAACTGGAGCTACAGAGAAACATACCAATTTGAGAGCTGATCTTTTACTACATGGTGCAAAGCCCACCTACATCTGACACAAGCACAACAAGGTCTGGCTTCTCTATGCTGGTCTTTGCCAAATTAGTTGAAAGAGCACTGCCTGAGCCACAACAAGGAGGCTACTGAGGTTCAACTCATTTAAAGGGGCTGACTGCTGTGTTTTCAAACTACATCAAGTATTACTAATAAATCTCTGCATTACTCACATTGTATCTTTGTTGACAATCATTGAAACAAAATCTTGTGTCAAATTATGCATTAAAACTTCCTCATTTTACCACAGAAATAATATAGACAAAATTAAGATGTTTCCTTATTTCTAAGTTTATTAAGAAAACTTAAAAAGCATTTTCAGTCACCTTTATGTAAGATAGCAATACCATGAATATTACATCATAGGAACTTCCTTTATGTAAGATAGCAATACCATGAAAATTATATCATAGGAACTTAGAAACAGATTGCTTTCACCATTCCAGTGATAAGGTAGTGCCCAGTAGGATTTCAAACTTTTTATTTCTCTTTTATGACATCTTTCACTTCAGCACCTGAAGTTCCAAGAATGTCCTGGTAAAAGTGAGGTTCATTTGCAACCTTCCCTGCCACTTTGACTTTCTCGGTTTAAATTGTACTTTTGAAAAGTAAAAGACTAATGTTAAAAGTCTTGAAATAGCCAAACAAAAATTCATTCTCTTTGCCTTCAAAATAACACAAATCCAGTAGAAAACTGCAGCAATTAATTCATAATACTTATATTAGTCTATCTTCTCATGACAATGCAGCCAAATAAGTTATTTTTAGAGCTGTATATAGCTACAGTAATACAAATAATAAATAACTTCAGCAATTTGAGTACAGAACAAAGTAAGACTGCTACATTCAGTCTACCTTTTCATAACAGAAATTATCTTGAATAATTATCAGAGAAATATCTGTATACACTATGCAAGTGGAGCAGATACAGTATGAAGCATAATTTTCTTTCCATTTAATGTAAATTTCTCAGAAACATCTTCTGAATTGCCCTGCTAAATTAATAACTGCAGGGTTTCCATTCCTCAGAGATTGCATTTTTATTCAAAAAAGGCTACTATTTCTTGTATCTTCTACTTTTTGACAGAAAGTATTTACATAATATTAAATGCTTTGGCATAATATTAAATGCTCTAAAACATACCAGTGAGCAGGTAGTGGGAGAAATGGAAGGCTTTCAAACATAGATTTGGCCATATGAAAGATATGAAATAATCTACTTGTCTGCATTCATTCCAATTAAGTCTATGGCAAGATAATAAACATTTAAACTCAAAATAAAGCTCTCACTTATACAGTATCAACAAATACTTAATTCCAATAGCAGATCTTGAAGAAAATATAAAACATGCATGTAAAATGTTCTAAATCGAACTAAATAGCTTTTTCTTATATTCAGTGCTGGCCATGCATGTTTACTAGCAGGTGACAAGATCAAATCATTTGCTCATACTCATCTAAATCTGTTAGCTGCTCTCTATTTTACGCACCAGTTCCCTTGGATGGAATGATTCTTCCTGTCGAAAAATCAAAAGGGCAACGCTCCCTCCCATCTTGGTGCTTCGCAGCAAGGACACAACTTCTTCTTGAGTTTTGCCTGTTAAATCAACTCCATTTACCTGTGACAAAGGAAATGTTAGAAATTGCTGAGACTCCCAAAGAGGAAAACCAGCAGAAATTTAAAGCGAAAAGTCATGTGAATCATATGGGACAGTATTAAAAAGCCCTGACTGGAGCAAATAAGCTCACATTATAGCTTTCACCAAATAGAATTAATTAAATGGTCATTCTTCCCATACAAATAGCAATAACAAGCCAGACAGCTATACTTCCCTCCTTTTCAGCAGCAACAGTGTGCTCTAATATCCTCTAAAGCTGACTAATCCCATCTATCAATACTTCTTACAGAACTTCTGCACAAATATCTTTTGGCAAAATCAATGTATCATCCAAAACTGGCCCTGTTTCCACATGCTATGGTGTTATCCATACCTTCCAAATACATCTTGCACAACAAATTTTGTCAAAAGTAGAAAGTAATTTTTTCCCCTGAATAACTCTGGGGTAGCTACTCTTTATCTTGACTCTGTTCAGTGGTCCAACCCCTTGACCTCCACATGCCATTTATCAGGACAGATGGGTATGGAATACATGCAGAATTTCCCACTGTATGAGCTAACTTGAATAAGGGAGGAGCCAGAGAAAGATGGAGTAATCTTAAGTTTCCTATTCAGAAGCATTCTGGAAATTAAGGCAAAGCAACTAACAGCATTAAGCAAGGTGCTCAGAAGAAGTCAGCAAACCATCTTTTTCCTTCCCCTCTTACGAGATAACAGCTCTAACAGTTGAGATGCCATAGCTGTCACCTAAAATTCTTCTCAGTCCCCTTCAGCCCAAGTCATCTGGGTTACCTTGAATTACTGTAATTACAGAGGGCTATCCTCTAGCAACAATTCAAGCTGACTTTTGACGATTTTGCAGTAAAGTGAAGTTAGGGCACCGAGAGGCAGTTACAGACTCAGCTGTATCTCCAGTGTCATTTAGCTCAGGGCCATTAATGAAGAGCTGTGGGTGGCAACATCTTATATCACTCCAGCTAGATTTGCAGAAAGATCTCTGCAGTACATCTAAGAGAAATCTAGTTCCCTTGAGGACATCCTTCCTTCAGGAGGGAAGTGGCCTTGATTCTCTGTAGGACTACATTCCTCTTATATCCCTTACAATTAATTCACTCAACCTGTTCTGGGTATTGCCTCCCATACTTGGCAACATCTTCAATAATTTCTGGTATTCCATGCCACAGTGATTTAATCCTACTTACTAGGTAAAAATTAGTTTTTTTCAATTTATTCCTAAGCAGCAATGTAAGTCTATGACACTATATTCACATAAGAACACAAGTCTTTTTTTTTTATATTATGTCCAGGTCCAGCTCTTATAACAGTTACATACTGAAAATGCACAGCCCTTGATCTCTTTCTTAAAAAAAATTAAGCCAAAAAAAGGAAAAGGTGGGAAATATTTTTCTGTAACATGAAATACTAAAAGCCTTTTGAAGTGAAGTAGTGTGTGGGCTCATGGCAAAACACAGACAAACAACATGTAACATTTCCTCACCTCAATTAATCGGTCTCCAGCTTTTAGTCTCCCATCTTGAATAGCTGCACCTCTTGGAAGGATGTTTTTCACATAAATTGGAGCAGAGCCACCAATTGGGACATCTCTTGAAGTAATACTAAATCCCAAGCCTTCCGTACCTGCGTAAAGAATGTACATTACTTGTTAAAATGCACATTTTATATTACATGTTATTTTTATCAAGCAGAATGTGTGTACACCTCACTGATACAACCCATGAAAATACATGTAAGATGTAAGAATTACTGCATGGCAAAAAAAGAAAACAAAGGCATCTATAAGAAGGCTATAACCGAAGCACTGAGTCTGGGCACAGGTGGCTCAGCAGGCCCTCCCTGCAACTTGCTGTTCTGATGATTTCCAAATCATTGCCATATTTCCTACTTTCTATTTCAGATGAGCTGAGTGACAAGGAATCAGAAAAAAGCATATCTGATATCCTACCACTGTCTTCCCCCTTGTCAATCTGGATCTCATCAATGATCCTTTCTTTCTCTTTTGCAGCTCTTTCAACAGCAACAGTCAGCCAATGCTTCTGGCCATGGGGCTTTGTCAGCTCACTCATGGACACTGGCAGGTGACAGAACTGGAGCTCAGTGGTCTCATTTCTTCTGCTCTGAGGGACCTCAGGCTGTTTTCTGTCAACAGCTCCTCTGCCCCAGGGCTTCACCCCAGCTCTCACTGTTGCACCCCAAAGCCTGTCATGCAGGCAGGGATCAAATCCAGGCTGCCACTTCTGAGATCCTCCTGTACATCCAGGTGACCACACTTGGCTAAGATGGACTGAAGCAAAACAGAGGCATTTAAAATGACCTGAGAAAATCCAGAGAGGGTGTCCAGTCAACACAGCCATGAGACTTGCTTGTATTTCAGAGATATTATGCCCACAACTGGTTAATGAGGTGTACCACCAGCTCCAAGATTCACTAGCTGATAGGACAAACAGAAGACCTTCCTACTATGTAGAAATCTCATTTGTGATCCTCTCTTTGATGCAACCTGCTCAGTGTTATCAACCCTTGAAACTCTATGTTGAAACCTGCCACTCATGTCTATTCAGGACACTTAATCTAGCATGAAACCAGATGGCTATCCAGTGGAGAGCACCTTGACAGAGTGGCAACACCTACAATTTCCATTTGAAACGTCTCAGAAGCTGTCAAGGTACATCTACAGTTCAAGTTCACTCGCTAGGCATACGCATGCCTAACCTAGCTGCAGTTAGGGCTCAGCAATATCAGGTCTGGTCTGTAAAAGCTGCACAACATACCCCTTTGCATTAAGTCATGGGGACAGAAGCCAAATTTTTATGCAACAGTCCCCAGCTATGAGCCCTGGGAAGCTTAACACAACCTACGTGAAAGACACACAACTATGGAACAATTTCAGGTGTTAACATTTCTAATTAAGAAGGGGAAAAAACCAACAACACAACAGCAGCCAGAAAGAGAAGTGAGACAAACAACTCTGAAGACCCTAAGGTCAGTGCAAAAGGAGAGAGAGGAGGTGCTGCAGGTGCCAGAGCAGGAGTTTCCCTGCAGCCCATGGTGAAGACCATGGTGAGACAGACTGTCCCCCGCAATCCATGGAGCTCCACAGTGCAGCAAAGACCCACGTGCAGCCTGTGGAGGACCCAGCACCAGGGCAGGAGGATGCCCAAAGGAGGCTGGGATGGGAGGAGCCCATGGGAAGCCCACACTGGAGCAGGCTCCTGGCAGGACCTGTGGTCCCATGGAGAGGAGCCATGCTGGAGCAGTGTTGCTCCAACTCCCAGTTGGCTGTGGGAACCTGTGACCCTGTGGAGGACCTGCACTGGAGCAATCTGTTCCTGAAGGACTACCCAATGAAAGAGACCCACACTGGAACAATTCTTGAAGAACTGCAGCCCATGAGAAGGATCCATGTTGGAGATGTTGGTGGAAGATTGTCTCCTGTGGGAAGGACCCCACATTGGAGCAGGGGAGGAGTGTGAGGAGTCCTCCCCCAAGAAGGAAGGAGAGGCAAAGACAACATGTGATGAACTGTTTGCAGCCCTCATTCCCCGTCCCCCTGTGCTGCTGCAGAAGGAGGTAGAGAATTTGAGAGTTAAAATGTGTCCAGGGAGCAGGGAGGGGAGGGGGGAAGGTGTTTTAAGATTTGTTTTTACTTCTCATTACCCTACTGTGATTTGATTGGCAATAAATTAAATTAATTTCCCCAAGTTGTGTCTGTTTTGCCTGTGACAGTATTTGGCAAGTGATCTCTCCCTGTTCTTATCTAAACCCACAAGGTTTTTGTTAGGTTTTCACTCCCCTGTCCAGCAGAGGATAGTGAGTAATAGAGCTGCTTGGTTGGCACCTGGTCAGCTCACCACAATGTTAAAGCCTGAATTAATTTCTGTCTTACTGTTCCCCACGTTAAATTTGCTAAGTCTACTTTTTTACTGAGCAGGTTATTATTCAGATGTGAAAAGAAAGCAGGAGTACGATACCAGTAGTCTACATATAGATTTCTGAAACCTGCACAATTACATTTGATTAAAATTTAGTACAATATCTTTTATTATCAAGACAGTAATCATGTTAAGAACTAAACTGACACAGGTGACAGGACTGGGCGTGACACAACGTTTTAAAATCTTGATCTTGAATATAGCTAAGTACTCCTGTATACACAGCAAGGACATGTATGATGAAACAACTTCCCTTTCCTTCTGCAGCATTCGAGAGAGCTGACATTTGAATTTGAAAGCCTTCACCCACTTTCAGACCAATATAAAATTTATCAGTGCTGTTACACAGCAATGAAAAAAAATATTACATGTCATAACATCCATATTTTACATAGGAAGCCTCACAATTTTAATGATGCTTCAGTCATATTGCTCTTCAACTGCCTGCAACGTGTGAAGATGATCTGTATAAGGGTTTTTTAGTCACATCTCAGGTTTTTCTGGAATTTATCTTTTTCTTGTTGTAAGGATCTGTGTTGAACAGTGGTCTTTGAGTACAGGTTTTGTCTGCTACAATTTCTAAAGTAATATCAGAACATGACTGCACACTCAGGACATTATTTCATTATTAATAAGCTTAATCCCCATAGCCTGATTACAGCATCATTACAGCTGTCTGGTTCACACACTCCACTTCAAACCCCCATGGAAAAAAAACAGAAGCTGGAAATGTTCATATTACAAATGCACACAGGATATAAATTTGGACTGTGGCATTTTCTGCTGTCAAACCTCCAGAAAGCCTTTACCAAAGCCAGCAGAATGCCACAAATCCATGGTGAGCCCAGATATTAGCAGAAGAAAATTCTAATTACTAGTTTCTGTGGAAAGAAGGGGCCTCAACTGGGTTGCATTTTGCTATGCTGCTCTGTGCAGCTTTTGGGTGTGAGTTTCCTTTTACCTTTTCAATTTGCTATTCATGCACTATAGCTGCCCTTAGCTGTATGATACAGCTTCATAAACTCCTGTGCTTATTATATATAAATTAGATGTTCACAAGACTGCAAAATAAATGCTTACATCCAACTGAGGCGAAAAATAAATACTTCTGTGTCTGAATTGATTTAATTTTTTTTTTCTTTTTATACACATAACTGACTTAGTTATTTCTGCTCCATGCATTTCCATTCTCCTGCTGACAGAAATGCATGTAAGATCTTAGTATCTTCCTGCTGCTAAACCAGTTTCAGTTCTTAGGGTGTAAAACTGCATTATAATAATGAGGCAACTGTGCAAAGATATTGTAGGCTACTCTGATATCTCTGATTTATACTAATAATACAGGAGTGACTGGACACACACAGTGGCAGAACCACAACGTGAGCATAAAACAGAAGAAATTTGCACATTTTTGAAAATACAGAAGTCACTGTACACAAAGCTCAGAGCTTTACTTGGCAATATCTAGATTATTTGAGTTATGTTCACCTTAATCTCATACAGATTTGAAAAAGGGTAGAAAACATTTTCCTCCCTCTATAGCTGTCATCTCTGACAACGATCAAATTACACAGAGTGATAATAACATTTAAAAATTACCCACTAATTTGTGTAATTCAAATTCTTAGGCTTCTTTCATAAAGCAGCAGCTCTCTCGACAAGTTAGCTCTCCCCTTTTTTCTTGAATGTGATGCTTAACACACCTTCTAAGGTCACACTACCCTCAAAAGCTCAACCAGCTCTGAGCTGAAGACAAAGTAGCTTCAGATTAATAAAAAGGGCAGCTACAATAGTAAAAGAACAATTTTGTACCAACAGAAGTGGCAAATTTGATGCTTCTGTTGCTGCTCTGGAGGAAGAAAGTTCTGGTAGTATTAAGGCTGCAGGGAGAGGAGACCCTTTCATCTAATTAATTAAAGATATTTTCAAAATGAACGTCATAATGTTATTTGGAAGCAGTCTGATCATAAACTGACAGGATGTAAAAATTTTATGATATTTTACTACAGGTGACTAGACTTTCTTATCTCCCAGTGAAAACTTTTGAATTTCTCACTAATGCTGGGATTACCTTCTTGATTGTGGAAAGAATGTGTCTGGCATAATGTTTGGCTTTTTGAAGCTATTCTGTATAAAATGTTGAATGCTTCTCACCTAGCAATAACTAGAGGTCTAAATTCTCAGCAGCAAAATGTGCTTCTGGGTAGAAACACTGCCAGGATATGACACAAAAAGCAAATAGCACCTCTGTAGTGCCTCCAGTGTTTTCATGTTCCTCTCAAAAGGACATTGATTCAGAGACCAATAATGAACAACGGAAGGACCTACACTGTCAATGTCTTATGATACTTCTTTTACAGTTGTCATCCCTTTCAGGACTGCAAGCAGAGCTAGAAGTAAATCATGTTCTTCCTTCTCCTCTAATTTAAGAAAAAGCTGGTGAGTTCTCAGGTAGTTCAATACAGACCTCTCTAAATTTTACGAAAGAAAAACAACAAAAGAAACCAAACACAAAATCTCACTTCTAAACCAACTGCAAACATGCAAGAGAGCCAGAGAATATTTCAGAACAACCAAAATATGGAAAATTCCTGTGGGTGAACAGTCCTCAGACAGAATAAAGGATTGTTAAGGAAAGGTGTGGATTCTTCAGGAAAGACAACACACTCTCCCTTTGCTAAAACAATA